AAAATAAGAAATAAGAAAATGAGCAGCCTTGTCTATATTAACTAAGCTTCTTTAATCATGTTTGATATCAGGGTTTTGTTACAGTGCTGCTTAAGGAAGTCTTTCTTGGTTAGCAAGTCCCTGCTTCCATTAAAGATAAGGTAAACCTTCCACTTGGCCATCTTTCCCTCTTCGCTCTGCTGTGCGGTGGTACCATGTGTGTGTTACTGATATGAATGATTTCCTAGTAGCCGCTAATTCTCCTTTCCTGGCTCTCTCAAATGTTAAAAATCTTAGCAACAAATAAAATCAACATGGCTAGAGATTTGACTGCCTCAAGCCTTTTAACCTTATCAGAAAAATTGAGGTTGATTCTCATGTCAACTCTGCCAATAGTAGGGAAAACATCTGGTGGAAAGCAAGGGACTGGGTGTGAATAGCCAATAATTAATAAAATGTTATGGCATATAGTGATGGTTGTGGCTTACATAAGTAATTGGGAAGTTTCTCTGTCATTAAGTTTCCTGGGTCCTGCCTCCAAAAAGTATTTATGTCCCAGTTTACATGCCACTGATGTGCTAAAACACCAGCTTAAAGAGTTTCTCTGTGGGCATGCCAGTTTACAAGGGTTTCACTGTGTGTGCCGCTTGGTATCTTTTTGGGAAGCAGGAGGTTTTATTTCATGCGTATTGCTCTATTATTTAAAATGGTATTGTATCTCATTCAGTCAATTGGAGTGCAAAATTAAATAATTTTGCATTCAGTTTTTAAATGGGATGTTTTTATTCTAGAAATCAAAATGTCACATTAAACCCTCTGACTTTAGACTGGTGTAATATTATTTTTGATTGCTGTTTGCTTTCAGCAGCTGACCATTTCAAAAGACATGTGACATAAGGTTTAGGATAAGGACAAGTTGTAATACTTCCAGAGTGTGTTCTGTCCTTCACAGGTTCATTTTGTTTCTTATATAATGGCCATAACTCTGATTCTTTGTGTTTGATGTACTAGCTGAAGAATCGGGGCTGATCCTTAAATTCAGGTATCGCTGTTTCTTTAAATATTGCAAACTGTGGTCAAGTGGGAGATTTCTGTCAGGTTTTAGGGGTTTCTTTGTTTAGCAAACTGACTTTAAAACTGTTCCATTAGGTATTTTGTTTTTCAGTGTAGTAGCCGGAGACCTGAATCTGAAACAGTCCTCAAATTGTTGCTACTTTAGTTGATATCAGACCTGTTTTGGACAGTTGTGGAGATGACAGCTGTCCTTCTCATGCCTCCTGCTGGCTGATGAACCCGACAGCTTTGGCATTTTCTCAGAGGGAACAGCTTGCATACTTTGTTGGACAGAGGAAGAGTGCCGTAACAGTGGATGTCTGACCAGAGACACATTTGGGCTGGAGAAAATGTTATCCCTGTCATGAGGGATATAAGAATTAGAAAATTGAGTCTGGCTATAACCTGAGCACAGGCTTAGGAAGCCCCACTGCATTTTCAGTGGATTATTTAGTTAGTATGAGGTTACTGGTAATTTTTAAAATTATAACACAATTTCAAGTCTCTAAATGTGAAAAGCTGCTGTTTCATTGCAGTATTGCTGTACGTAATGATCTGTTAACACTGCCGTCTTTATCTTTTGCTTATAGCAACACTAAACGATGCAGTTTTTATTAGCCTAATTGCCATAATTGCACACATGTATTAAAAACATTAATTCATGGTTAAAAGAACAACTCAATGCTTTTTATTAGCCAAAAAGCTACACGTTGGAGATGGCACAAACTAGCCAGTATCCAGTTATAGAGGTTAAATATTTTGGATAACTAAATTCTGGATTGGTATGAAACTACAGATATATTTCCTAAACATCCCTAACATGTGAACAACAAGAAGTTATATTTTATCCCCTTTTTCAATAAACTCAGGAAATGTTATAGGGGAAATGTGAACCTTTAGTGCAAATGTTCTCCTTGCTTCCATCAGTGTGAGTCTGGAGCAGCTTCATTGAAATCAGTGGAGCTCAAAGATACAAATCTGGCAAAAGGAATAAGAATCAGAACTTAAATGCATTTAAATATCTGTTGTTGTCCTGGGAGTATGGGACAGGCTTTGAAGTCCATTTTGTGTAGTTTTCTGGAGGATATCTCACATGGTCATTCACATGAGTAAAGAAATAATTTATAATCACTACTGTTTTCTCTATTTACAGCTGGTTACAGCAAACCTCCAGTCAGCTTATAGAAAGAGGGTATGAAACCTCCTGTAAAGTTTGGAATGGAAAAGAAATGCTCACCATTTTGCATTACATGGGAATAACCAATGCTACATTTCCCATCTTACAGGTAGATTTTTAATGATATGGAACCTAATGGTAAAATGCATGATGCTGTTAGGTTATTTTTTTTTAAACATGCTTAAGCTACTATAGGTTGTTCTTTAAATTAATCTAGTTTTTCAGAAATGTCTTCAAAATATGTGCCTGCTGTAAATCGGGGGTAGGCCACTACAGTTACAAGGTGTAAACTAGATATAGTGGGGAACCGATTTCTGTATCTTCTACAACAGAGCTTGGCAATGTTTTGGAGCAGGGGGGACACTTTAATGGACCTTCGCGCGGAGCCCAGGCCCCTTCCAACCTGTCTTACAGTGCTGCTATTGGTTCTCCCCGCTGCCCAGCCTCCGTTGAAGCCCCCTGCTGCTAAAATGCTGCTGAAGCTCCACACGCCAGATGAAATGACTCTGCTGGCCAGATCTGGCCTCCAGCATTTTTCGAAAGTAGCAGACACTGCCCTGCTCGATTGGTCTTGCAACAACTTTATTTGTGTTTTAACAACAGATACACTGATTCGATGCCATTACTGAAAGGTGGTTCCTTGAAATATTGACTGTTAATTCTGCCCTTGCTAACTATCTTCATTCTGGTGGACTAACAAAGCATAATGCTGCATGCTTCAGACAGGCCTCTCTTTCTGTTATGGTGCCACACATGTTGAAAGCACCGAGTACAATACAATTTCTCTTTAATTTTTCCTTTTGGTGGCGTTTCTGCAGCTATATTGGGAAATGTTATTTTAAAATGTTCTAGCAAACACTTCGGATCTGTATTGCTTTTCGGTCCGAGAGAATTTTTTAGAAGGATGTTAATGTGGAGTTTGCCTGTTGTAGAAACATTTTGCTGCCGTCCTTGAAAAGGAAGAAAAAGTAACAAAGTTCGATGGTGGAGAAGAGCTTATTGAGATTCCCACTGTGAGTTCTGCCACTCAGTTTGTGCTAAATGGACTATTCATGGTTCTTACGTATCTTTTTAAAGATAACAGCAGGTCAGTGGAAATACATAGTCTGAGATGTGTTTTATTTTCCTTCTACAAGAAATATTAAAAATGCAAGGGAATGCATTTCATAGGCATCTGATTGCCATTTATCCCTCCTTGTATAAACACGCATAAAAATCTTTTATGGGACGTTTGGGTAACTTTGCTATATGTGATAAAGAACAAACGAGCATTGGTCGGAGCCAGGCAAAGTAGAAACATGCATAGCACAAGGTTACTTCTGCAGCTTGGCCAAGTTGTCTCTTTCTCCACTGTGCAGCACCTCTGCTATGCCAGTGTCTGGCTTCTCCTACAAAACCTATAATTTAAACAGGATTGTGGCAATGTTTTCTTTTATGTGGGTAAACACCCGTTAAAAACTCGAGTTCCATACCACCAAATCAGGTTCCTTTTTTAAAAAAAATAAACGTTGACAAAGATTTCTATCAAGGTTTCGACTGGAATATTTTCATATAGCATTGCCTAATTCCAATAGTATGTTAATTATTTTACTTTGGTTTGAAAGTGATATAAACCAGCATTTTGATACTTTGCCCATTAAAGCCAACTGTGGCTACTAAATGTTTTGATTCCAAACTAATTTTGTAATAAGTAATAAGTTATCAGGAGTCTGTTTGGGGTGGTTTTTTTTTTTTTTTTAAATGGGG